CTCAGGCTTCAGTTCTCCCCCAGTATTAATGCAATGCTGTGGGTGGCTGAAAGTTCAGGGCGACTCTGGCCCACATATTCTGCACCATCGTCTTCCAGACACTGGACACAGCCCTGTTTCCTCTATCACAGTACACACTGGGTGTGAGAAGATGCCACCCAGTCAGTGGGCTTCTCCACTTCTGTCATTTAGTCACTGCACACAGCCTAAGTTAAAAGCTGCTTCTCTTTCTTCCCCTTCACCTGGTTCATGCTCAAGCCCTTACACCTGCAGTTCTGCCTAGGTCCCCTGCCAATCTCCAACCAGGATGCCTGGAATAGTGCCTCTGGCTGTCAATACGATGTTCTTGTCAAGAAAAACAGGTGCACGAAAGGACCGCTTTCTGACAAGAGAGAAAAGAAACAAGAAAAACCAAAAAGACTACAAAGAAGGAAAGTTTCACGGCTGCTGCTCTGTGTCAGTTCCCTCCTTGATCGGGAGGAGCCCAAAAAGGGAAAAAGCAAAAGGGACCATGCTCAATGACAGGTATAGTGCTGGCAGCTCCTTCAGTCTCCAGCAGAACTCACAGAAACACCAACTTAATTCACATAGCTCTGAAGACTGAAATGCAAAGACTTACTTTGTTAAGGGCTCCACAACCAGTCAGGATTATGTGAGAGTTCTCAACCTGGATAGTCCTCTGACCTAGCCGAACAAGGTAAGCCCCAATTCCAATTGCCCGACATGTAACCTTAAAAAAAAAAGAAAAAGAAAAAAAGAAATTGTATTGATTTCTGTCTTACCACACAGCCAAAACCTATCGATTCAAACATCTAGATAAAACTAGGCATGTTTGTATTACAAGGCTATAAAATCTACTCTTACTGCAAAACTCCAGAATCTCTTTTTTTGTAAAACACAGTATCAGAACACACATATATTTTATTTAAAAAAAAGAGAAGCAGTAACTTATAGACTGGGAAAACACAAAGCCAAATGACTGTTTTTTAAAAGTGTTTTAAATTTAGTCTGAAAAGGACCCAGCCCTGTAATGGTGCCAGTGGCGTTCCTCAAAGCCTACAGGAGCCAATTCACATCAACCAGAAGTCTGATCCCAGATGTATCTTCTGGATATCATTTCAGGATTTTTAGCTGAAACAGACAATACAGTTTGAAGAATAGAAAGCAGTAGGGGATTACCAAGTTGATGGTGATAATACTCTCATAGGCTAAAGATGATTCTCCAGCAATCATGCCAGATCCTCTGAGGTTCTCTGTTCCAAGTCCGTCTTCCTTTCCGATAATATCTGTTATCTTGTACCTGAGGGAGACACATACAGCCTTTGAGTCACAAGGTCCAGTGATTTGCTGAATCAGTTTGCTACGAAGAAAATGAAAAGTGACTAAATATCATTAAGGCTCCAACGAGTAATGTGCATAAAACCCAGCCAGGACCTGTACGTGGGCTCATTCTGCAGCCTTGCTGAACACCATGGAATAGTCCTACATATGAGCAGCCAAAGCAGCACGGCAAAGAGGAAACACCAAGGGAGAGGAATGCCCGTGAAAAGTGTTCTTCTGTCATTCCCACAGGACGTGAGGAGCAGGTTGATTATAAGAAAAAGGTCAAGAAAGGAAAAGGATGCAGCCAAAAGGAAAAAGAAATAGAACAAGAGATTATAATGAGGCTCTTACCTTTACTTTACTCTCTTCTTTTATGCCTTCCTTCCCCAGCACGGTCCCTTCTTACTCAGTGCTCTCACACTGGCTTCTATCTTTTCTACTAGGCCCTTGCTAAGCAAAGTACTTGAGCGTGTGCTTAAGTGCTTCACTGAAGAGAGCCACCAGCTTCCCCATCACACACGCAGACACGCACACATCTCCGCACCCAGCACCATCCTTTCGTTCTTTCAGAGCTTGACAGTCTGCAAACTAGGCTTTTTTTTCCCTTCCTAAGCACATCTCCTCCCTCTGCCCAGGAGCACCACTACAGCTGTGGTCTAGCTCTGAAAACTTCTTTGCACCTCATTTTCAGATGTGCTACCTTTGGGATGTAGCTGGGAAGATGCAGATACCTAGAGCAGATGTGTGTGGAAAACCATAGTATAAGGCAGTTTAGTGCAAACATTGCAGCCCAACCCTTCAAAATGCACAGAGGGCTTAGCCTTCCTTCACTCAGGAATTCTTTCTTCCCTTCTACAGAATCTAGCAGAAAAGTGACTTTCAAAATTTGCACTGCAAGTCTTTGGGCAAGGATCATTGTCCTGGTCATTCAGTGTTTACCACTGCAGGACTCTCAGTCATGACTTGGGCCCCCAGGCAGTAGGAGTTAACACAGTACTACCTCAAATAAGGCATGTCATAACATTTTAACTCTTGTTCCATGCTCGGACCACACACAGCTATGGCTTTCTACGTACCTGGATCCTAAAGAATGTCCCAGCTGAAGACAAGGACACGACATGCATCGCCTTGTATACCCAAGGAGGAACAGAAAGTTTTTCATTCTGACCTGTCTATGCTTACCTGGACTCTCCATTGTCCTCCACATGTTCACAGTGAACTGAGTTCAGGGCGCTGACTTTCTTATAGTCTTGAGGAGTCAGGTACAAGTATTTGTATCCCTGCAGGAAAAAACAGTTCATTTGTCTCACTCCCACCTGTGGTCCCTTCCCAATCTCCAATAACCCCTTCCAAAAAGAAAGTTTCAAGGGAGCAGAATTTAATTCCAGATAGCAGTAAGAACATCCTCTCTTAATATCGGAGCTCCAGTTGAGATCAGTGAAAGCTAGGGATGTATTCAACATTTAGCACGAACTCATTCTGGATGCCAGTCCTGCTGCCTGAGAGATCCAGTACCAAGGAGAACTTTGGACCTAACAATCTGGCAAATATTTACCCTCACCTCTATTGAAAGAGGTGGTGTAAAAATAAGATTCTTTTGTGAGCTACTGCAGAGTTTCACCTCTGATTTCTTGCCTCCTTACCTTGTATGGGTCATCTGGGTCTTCCCAAGCTACATGGAACATGTGCCGAATCTCCTCAGCCAAACCAATCCTGGCTCCACTGTTGGCAGCCACGTAGATACGGGGAATCCCATGTGTTCGAGCAAGCTCTGAAGCCCTCAGGAACAGCATGTCCTCTTGAGGCCCAAAAGAACCTATTCGGTATGTAATGTCATTGCCAATGACAATGATATCACGGCCTTCTGGATACTCAGGCGTCTTCAGAGTCATCTTCCAGGCCACCATCCCAATCTGCAATCAAACAGCAGAGAACAACAAAAACTGAATGTGTATCTTCGAGATGTGAACGAGAGGAGTCATGCAGGGGCCATTTTTCTTATGTGTGTTGCACTTTGTGTATTTTCTTTGGGAACTTCGATAACAGCAGCTCTAATACGCACTGCCAGTGCAGAGCACAGCTAGCAGGACTTGATCCTTTCCGCATTCACTGGAACACATCCTCCATTGCTCTCTTCCCACCCAAGGCACTAATACTGGCCCTCCCTCTCCCCGTTCAGGGATTTGTCACAGGTCCAAAACACATTCCGCAAACGCCCCGCTCGCAGGGTGCTGCGTTTGCTCCGTGTGCCAGAGCTCACAGGGTGAGGATGGGTGTGCTGCTGTACAGGACTCCTGACCATCTGCTTAGGCTACTCAGATATCACCCCAGAACCTCGTCACCCTCGTTCTCTCTCTCCCTCTCCTCATTTTAATAATCTTTTTATTTCGTAACTATCTCCATTATTTTTTTTTCTGTCCTTCCTTTCATTTCTTTGGCTCTTCCTTTTTTCCTTCCCAAATATTGCAGCAGTTTCTTTCCAAACCTGCCTGGATAAGTAATGCTTTATGCTGCATATTTTTCTTTTAAAAATCACTGGATGATCTCTTCTCGCCCATCTTATGGAGATCAGCAACATCTGTACCCTGCTTCTCCCGCCTCTCAGCTGCTGCGTATCACTGCACTGGGGAGTTGGCCATCCTGGAATGCCATTAACAGACGGAAATAGCAGTGTCCCTTGAAAGCCCCATGCATCACCCAGTCTCCGCTTGCCCAAGGATCATAAGCTCTGAGTACACATTCCTCAAGCCGATTGCACATCCTCTGCAATCAGGAGAGTTGAAACTCTCATTGTGGAGACTGTGAATTCTGAACATGATGAACTAAAGAGGGAGGGGAGAGGGGAGAAGCAGTAGATAGGTATGTGCCATTTAATCCAAATCAAAATGGCACAATACACAGTTGAGATCCAATCAGCATCTGCAATAAGATATGCCATAATAGGCTCATTAAAAAAAATAAAAAGGCAGAGGAATTAATCAAAGGGTCATCGGAAGTAAAGCAGGCAGCAATCCAAAAATATTACAACCGGCTACTGGCAGATCCTTCCCTTACACCTCCCCTTCTGAGAGCTGAGATTGCAAGTTAACGGAATGATGGTGTTTCATTTCACCTTCTCCTTGGTCTCAGTTTCATCCACCACTATTTTGACTGATATGTCGTAAGGGATTAATCTGTTTGCCTCTGAATATTTGCAGATTTACAGTTACATCTTAGCGTCCAACTGCAGTGTTTGGAAGAGAGAGATACTGCCGCAGTTTCAAAGACAGGAGCAGAAATCCCTAAAAGTCAGTGGGATGCTTTGCTAAAATACCAGTATTATTGCAAAATTAAAAGGGAAAAGTTGTAATGCTGTAAAACAAGTGGATGCAGCTGTTGGTCACGCACACAGACCGAAAGCGAGTGCAAAGAGACGAGAGCTCACACAGACAACCAGTCCGGAGTCTGGAAGAGCAACCTAATTCATCCCAAACAAACCTACCCAGCCAGAGGGGTTCCTTGGACTCCTGCTCTTCTACTGCTGGACTTTCACAGCAGAAAAAGGAAGAATAAAGGTGAAAAAAGGAGAAGAAAAGTAAGCTTTGTCCTTCCGACCTGACCGTTGCAGGAAAAGAGATGCCAGGGCCCGCATATTGTGTCCGTCTTCTAACTCTCAACTGTGGGCAAGCTTGCGATTAGAAACAGGAGGTTAAAAAAAGTCTACAAATCCAAAGTTAAAGGCTTCATGATTAGCCTCTAAGAAATAAGGGATGCCCGTCAACACCCCATCACCTACTGCAGCTCAGCTCTTTACCACATTTTACAGGCTTTTTTTTTTCCCATCATAACTAAAATCCTTAAGTGGGCATTTAACAAATCTTTCTGATACCACCTCAGAAACAGTCTCTAGTTATTGACAGAAAGCCACAGGGAAGATGGGGTAATATTCTCTTTAAAACTGCACCTTAAACGTCTTCCAAAATAGCACAGACATAACACTAATTTGCATGGTTTTGCCTAAGCAGTCGTTTCCTTACAGTTACACTGATCCCAGCAGCCAGGACCACACCAGGAAGCTTCAAGCCCCATCAGATGACCAGAAGCCTCATGAGGAACAGCAGAAACGCTCAGGCCTTGTATTTACTAAATACTTGTCACCACAGTAAACTGCAAGACAAAACCACACAAAGACACTGCCAGAAACCTACACAATAACCACAACATACCGACAGAAAAATCCTAGCACCCTCAGCTCACATGTGAGGCAGCTGAATGAACACTTGCTCCAGGGCTCAGGGACGAGTAACCAAACCGAGTTAGTACCCAGGACTGGCCCCACAGCCTGTCTCTCCTATCAAGATGTTAAGAGATCTTCCTCACTTTCGTCAGCTTGATGATTTTTGACAGTACAGAAAACAGGCAAATTAAAAGCATTTCCTACTTAGAAGATTCAGATTGTAACAGAAATCTTGGAATTGTTCCCTAACCCAAGATCGTGTATCCTCCACATAAATAAAATCCCTTTTGTTAATGCTCACTAGTAGAACAGGAAAAACTACCTAGCCAGGGCACAGTAAACATAAACTCCTGAAAATAGTTTATAGCTGATAAATATGGAGCAATCATATGCAGTTTAAGAAAAGAAAAATTAAAGTGCACCACTTTATTAACTTGTGTGTCTTTCTGCCTCCTCAATACATAGTGATTTTGTGCCATTTATCCAGTAATAAAAACCACAGGGCACAACTAAGGAATTTCTTGCTATGAGCAACGTAGATTCTGTTTAAATTCATGGGCACTGGAGGATAGCTTTCTATTTCAGGAAAAAAAAAAAAAAAGATGAGATTTTTAAGTTAACGGCAGCATGCCAAAAAAATGGAGAGTTCACAGGTTAATTAGACAGGCTGAGCTAATCACCTAAGAGCACTGTCAGAACAATAATGGGTGATGGTAAGCAGCCGTGGCTTCAAAACAGGCTCTTTTTAAGAGCCAGCGCAGTTCGGAAGTGCTTCTCCTGCCACAGCTCTATTCCCAGCACATCCAGGAATGAAGAAGAGAGGGAGGGAAAAATAAAAGCAGGAACCATCTTATTTAACTGTTTTTATGTTGGCAAAATGATTTGTGCCACAGTATTTCCATAAGAAGTGGGACCATTATTCTCCTGTAGGAACACATTTGGTTTGAAAAGTATCACTGGACAGAACGTGAAAATCAAACCAGATGAATTATTCACAACCTCCGATCAGAAGTGATCATTATTTCTGATGTTCCAAACTGCGATTAGGATTCAGTGCTTAGATGTCATTTGCTCCCTGAATAGGACCAGCAATGCAGAATTGCTTGACACACATATATTACACACAAGTTTTATATGTATAATTTTATACACACCTTCTCCCACTAGATCTTTGGCTTAATGTAACCATTAACAGATAGTAAAAACATGATATTAACTAACGTTCGTTTTCATGGTGCTCATAAATGCCATTAGTTTGACACACAGTGTCAACAGTAATCATGGCCTAAAATTAACACCAAAATTGACTTCAACATTAATTGCGCTATCGATGTGAACAGTAATACACACACTGATGCAGTTACAAATTGACTGCTAGTGGCAGCCGGAGCTGTTGACAACAGGCACCGAGGGGAATGGGGAAGAAACCGATCCCCGTCTCCCTCCTGAAAGCGCAACAGACCCCGAACGAAGGGAAGCCCATGCAAACGGTGGCCGGTGTTCAGGCAAAGGGAGCTTTTAAGTCTCTTTCTAGCAGGATCTGTAATTCCTAGAGAAGCGTACCCGACAGAAGATCTGATGTAAACGAGAACAGCTTATTATTTGACAGCATCTACGCTTGAGCCATGCCAATTGTGTTGGTTTATTCTACTTCTCTCACAACAAGGATGATGCTTGAGCCTAGGTACTTTATGCCACGCTTCATTTCATTTATTTACATCCAAATTTAGCAACTTGAATGTGGGTCTTGAAATCTCTAAGTAGGACAACTGAACTTACAGAACCCTGATAATTTTGTCTTATTCTGTTGCATCTGTATCATATGTAAGTTTTATATGTAAAAAATACATATAAAACACAAATACATTTGTATGTCAGTATCTATTACGTACAAAAGTTATAACAAGAAACGCAATGCAACAGTTGCAGCAGTCTAGCACGTGAGCACTGGAAACGCCAAAGCTGAACACTAATGAAAGCTCATTTCTCCCCTGCTGTCACACACGTTCTGACATTGTTAAAATCAAGGAACACATGCTTTATCACCTCTCCACAACCTCTGTCTATTCTGGAGGTAAACCAGTGTCCACTGACCCCAGGATGCTGAATCACTCTGCTGCAAAGCCATGGACAAGATGTGTTTTAGAAACGGGACAAAGACATCCCCAGAAATTTTACTTCATGCAGACAAAGCAATTTCAGTATTTCATCACTCAAATCTGATGCCTGGAACTTCAGATCCAAAAGAGAGAGTCTCTGCACTTATGCTGTGACCAAAAGCTGTATCATTTTTATCTTCAGCATGAACCAACTCCCAGAAAAAGGGCATGATGCACATGGTTTGCTAGAGGCATTCACACTTAATGCCTTGACAAGGGTGGAGTGCCAAAACCCAGGATTCCTTCATTCTCTTCTTGGCTCCGAAAATGGTGTCGTTTAGTGATCAAAGCAGTGGTCGCAGGCGGCCCAGCCAAGCACATGTTGGCATCGTTCTTCTGAACAGCATGCGGCTGAGTGGATGAGAGATGGGAAGAAACGGTTCCAGAATGAGACGTGACAAAGGCTTGCTCAGTAAAAGGTGTTGTGCAGCAGCGTGGACTGAAGGAGAAGTGAATTCTTACTGTCTTGGTTCCTTGCACTAGACCAAAGGGCACTCGGAGGGCAAGCCAGGAAGCAAATCAGCAAAAGGGTGACGGA